CTTTCAACGTGTCTGGAGGTTTGCTTGATACGTAAAGTTTGAGTCTGTCATTCATAATACAGCGCTTTTCTCAGCTTACATGGACGCGGTAAAGAGTTACTTTGTTTCTTTTGTTTGGGTGGAGGTGTTGCTGAAGGCTGCTACTTAGGTTACTATACAACGTTTTGGAAGAGTCTGATGCAGAATAGATCTCAGTTTTTGCCTAAAATTGGGGGGTTTTGTTTTGAACACTTTTTTTGATTTGTGATATTTTATTTAGTGTTCTAGTAACGTGCTTCAGTCCAGCTTTGATTGATTTCTTTGACTAGTTGAAATTTTTTTTTGTGGACCTAATGAATTTTTAGAATTACTGAAGTTTTTTTTGTTGTCTTACTAAGGGGACTAAAATATGGTGTTGTTACTCACTAGTGTTTACCGTGAGGTTTGAAATTTTTAGCGACACTTCACTCTTGCTGGTTGATTTTTTTTTTTTGGCTTGATTTGAATTACAGTGAAATATTTTTTGACTTGATATGGTTTAACATAATGACTATTTGTGTATTTGTTTAGGTATTGCAGTTTAAAATTTTTTTTTAAGTATCACTGATCTCATTGCTCATTTGAATTATGTACGAAATTTTTACAGTTTAATTGTATTTTCATTTTATGTGTATATGTGTGTATCTTGGTAGTATTTGTAAATTTTGGCCAAACGTTATTTTGTATATGCATTAGGTTGTATTATTACTATTATTTTTGTGTGTCTTGGATAAAATTCTAATTGGTATTTGCACAGCGTATTCGTTATGCTATTTTCGGAATTGATTTTGGTTGGATTGAATTTTTTGGACAATCACGTTTTCTTTCTTTCTGATTTTTTTGTGTGGGGTATTTTCGGCTGGTTCCGAGGTTCCTGGTGTTGTAACGTTCTTTTCTTTTCTAATGCTTGGCCCTGATCAGGCCGCTTCTGTTCTTAGACGTGATTGTTTGGGATTCATTCTAGGAAGTTATTCAATTTCGTAGTACTTAGGGGTCTTTACTCCTTATTTGAATACGTTCATGTGATATATTTTATTTGGAATTGTTTGAATTATTAGTGTGTTTATTTTCTCAGGAATGTATTTTATGTATCTGCGGCGCGTTTAATTATCTTATTGATTGATCTTAGACATATTTTGTTTGTGATTAGCGCCTTATTTTTATTTTTATTTTTGTATGTGTTCTGAGTATTTCTAGGTTTAATTAAGTGATTTAATTGATGTTTTTGATTAATTATTTTTGATGATCTTCCTTGAGTATTTTAATTAGTAATTGCTTTGATTAATCTTGTTGTTTTACTTGCACATTTTGGACTTGAAATTTAATGTGTCAGTAACGTCACTGTACCAAGGAGTCGTGTGAAATATTGTTACATTATGTTATCCTTTAGCCTTATTGCACAGTATGAGTCATGGTATTTCAAGAAGTGTCTGTCTGCTAAATTTTGGTAAACCAAAATTTAATTCCTTAGGGGAAAGGAATGTTATGTAGAGAAATTATCTGATAGCGTTATAAAAAATTAGGTGAATGATTTTATGATTTATGGAAATTTAAATTTTATTTTGATTCTGAATTATTTAATTTAAGGCTTTAATTTTGGGGAAAACAGATGCTTCTGGAAATATTATTTAGTTTAAAAGAGTATTATTTATTTTCCTCTATTTGCAAATCTTGTACAAACTTTTATTCATTGTGAAAGAAGAAGCAGGGAAGGAAAGGGAGGCAATTTTCGCCAAGTCATGATTTCGCGCGCTTTAGAATGTTCGAGAAAGAATTTTCATTGTTAGTTGACCTTAAGAGAGGAAGTACGTGACAATATAGTAGATGTCATAAATATAGTAGATGGCTCTCTTAATCGGTTGGCTAGTCTGAAGCTATTCAATCACTCCGAGATTTGCCCCATTATTAAATCAGTGTTTTTCTCAAAACTGAGGAAGTTTTCCATGAAATTAAGAGGAGAAAATGAACGAAAGGAGAGTGTGGGCAGACGATCTGTATAATTGGTTTATCAGATATTGCCCTATGTTTGTTGTTAGCAAACACCATTTGAATTTCGGTCGACATAGTCTGGTAAATGATGCTTGATTACCTTGCATGCCTTTTTCTCGTGCCTTTAGTCACATCATGGAATGACGTAGGGATTCATATAAATTTGAAACCAACGAAACAGAAAGGGGTACAGACATTTTTAAACGTATTAAATTCATTTTTGAATGTAACTAAAAACTTTTTTTCCACAAAAATTTGAAATTTAATCTATAAATGATAATTCTGTACTTTTTTGGTAACCATTGTTAAACGCTCAATTTTTGTCAAAAATACTTGCTTATTTTGATTTTTCTATCAGTTATATTTAGTATTTGCTTATTTGAATTCAAAAGTTATCAATAGGAAAGGTGAGTCAGAAATAAACTCTACGTTTGATCGCATTTTATGGTGACAATATTATGATAGTAGGTACTGTATATGATGTCATAGAACAATCAGTTCTTCAGTTTAAAGACTAATGCATAACAATATAGGCTGTTATAATTTTCATCTACAGTAGTGATCGGTAAACTGTTGTTCGGGAGGCAAATAAGCCTCTTTGGCTCCTTGAATAGCACTTTCTACAAAATAGCACATGCGGGCGCGCGTACGTAAAAGCAAGAAAATCTTGAAAATACAGCACAAGGGCCGTCAAATTTTACAGAAGCATGAAAACATCTGAAAACATATCGCCAATGTTATTCCCAGGAAATTTTGTTTTTACCGATTTCCTCGATTTGATTGTACTGATTATACATCAAATTGCGCTGTCGTAGTAATTGTCATATGTCAAATTTTAACTAATGAAATACTTGGAATTAATATACCACTCAATGGCAATTTTAACTTGAATGAGAAACTAAATAACGTAAAAATAAAGTTTAATTTAAAAATATCAAGAATTTCAGCTTCTTAGACCTTTCAAGTTTGAAGTTTTTCCAGTGTCTGAAAGAAAAAGTTGCCTAGCAACTTCGTCATTATCATAAAGTCGGGCAACATAAAATGCATAGGCGATGTTTGGATTGCATGTAATATGAAAACACTTCAAATTAGAAATGTCTAAAAACTAAAAACCCAGATATTTTAACACTAAATTTCATGTTCGCGTTATTTTATGTATCGAGTTAAAATTGCCATAATACTGATTCTAGTAAGATTTTTCTGTGATGTATTGATAAATCGGCTATTGTACCGATTTCAATACAATGGCCCATTTATCAATCACGAGACAATTACTTACCTTTGTATCTTTCAGACATTTCCAGGAGAAATTTGCAGACTTATAGAATTGACGATTAAGATTATCAACTCCATTACAGCTGAAGCTCTTAATCATCAATAGTTTAAAGAATTTTAAGTAGAAATGGAGAGTGAATACGCAGATCTTCTGCTGCATAACAAAGTACAGTCGTCCCTCGCTACTTCGCGGTTCATTTATCGCGGTCTCAGTACATCGCAGATTGTACAAAAATATTCATCAAAAGTTAAAAATTGAGGAATTATGGCAGGAAAGTTGCCCGGACGTCAGCAGAAGGCAGGGCGTGCCCATAAAATTCAAAATCCACGTCTCTGATTGGCTGGCTAGCATCCCGCCATTTGATATACCTCCTCACTCGGGAATCTTCGGAGCTGATGATTGGCGTAGACGTTTCCCCCACCTCACTTTCATACCAAGCGAAGACGACCGCGCTCATTCAAATCAATGTTTGAGTTATGCTTAATCTCGATGCTTAGGTGTGCTAATTTTTGCTATCCTCTTGCGTCTTTTTGTGCAAAATAGTTCACGTGAAGCCTTTGAAAATGGCTCCTAAACGTCCTCCACACTCTAAATCCTCTAGTAAACCCAAGGAAAAGAGAAAAATTATGACAGTGAATGAGAAAGTTAATTTATTGGGCATGCTTAAGGCAGGCCATAGTTATGCGTCTGTTGCACGCCATTATGGATTGAACGAATCGACGGTTCACTATATAAAAAAAGATGAAGTACATATCCGTAAAACTTCCTCAATATCATTTTCCAAGGATAAGCGAGTTGTGACTTCTTGTAATAAGCGAATTTTGAAAATGAAGAATACTTTATCAGTGTGGATTTCGGATTGTCGAAAAAAAAGTTTAGTCTCGATACCAATATGATTCGGATTAAGTCAAAGCCATGTATAATAGTCTCGTTCCTGAAGGAGAGATGAACGAAAATGATGGAGGTGATGACAACGACGAAAATGAACCTCAGCCTAGTACCAGCGCCTCAAGGGAACCTACACCACGAGAAAAACGTGGTTATGTTGCTAGCAAGGGCTGTTTCGAGAAATTCAAGAGATTTGGCCTTCGAAGCATTCCTTTGTATGGGGAGGCCTCCTCGGCAGACCAAGAGGCAGTTCTTCGTTACATCGAGGAAGAGTTTCTGAAGATAATTGATATCTCCTGGAAGAGGTCTTCTGAAAAAACTGACCTCTTCTGGAGAGGATGCAGTCCTGGATGTTCCTTTATAAGGACGAACTGAAGAGGCCAGGGTTCAAGGCCCATGAAGATTGAGTAACTCTCCCCATGTGTGGGAATGTTGCGGGCTTCAAACTCAAGCCCAGTTTAATTTACAACTCCCTAAATCTTCTCAATTTAAAAAAAAAAAAAAAAGCCTTGCTGCTCATCTACTGGATGCACAATAAAGTAAGGCATGTATAACTAAAGCCCTCACACTCGACTGGTTCGTAAATTGCTTACCCCGCTGGTGAAGCTGCACCTCGCTGAAAAGGGGCTGCCCTTTAAAGTCGTACTCTTCATTGACTGTGCAGGAAGGCATGAAACGAGTCTCCATTATGACGGGGGTCCAAGATGGAGTTCCTCGCCCCCACCACCACTTTCCTTATACAACCCATGGATCAGGGGGTCATTCGGACCTTCAAGGCCCTCTACACGAGGTTCACGATGGAGGGCCTCATCTCCTCCATTGACGAAGACAACGGCCTTCATCCTGAAGAAATATTATCTGGAATACCACATTGCAATGTGCCTGGTCAACATTCAGAATGCTCTTAGTGAGACGAAAGAGCAGACATTGATTGCAAGTTTTAGGAAATTGTGGCCAAAAAAGGTCACCCATGACTACGCCTATTGTCACCCATTGTGGCCAAAAAAAGTCACCCTGATATACGCTACGCCTGACAAAGTTCCCCATTACGCCGTAGATAAGGCTGTGAGGCTGGCTCGGTTGGTAGCCACTGAAGTGTTCTCCGACATGACGACGGAAGAAGAGAACACACTGATTCAGTGCCACTTGAACTCCCTAACTGACGAGGAACTCGTCGAAATAACAAGGGCGGTGAGTGAGGAAGAAGAGGAGGTAGATGATGACGGTGACAACAACGAATCTAAAGAACGTGGCCTTACTTTGGAAAATCTGCAAGAGCTCTGCAATATAGCACGGACTCTGCAACAAAGGGCTCACGAAATCGCCGACAACTTGGTAAGAGCGGTAGAAGTCAGTAACCGTATTGAAGGTGTAATGACGTTGTAAAAGGCATCTTTGCTTAGAAGAAAAATCAACGGTCACAACTCCCCATCACGATATTCCTTGTGCGCTGAAAATCTTCTGCAGAAGCTTATCCTGCTGCCTCTACGCCGCCTCCTGCAGCTACTCCAGCTCTATCCGAAGCTGGCCGCGACGATCCAGCGTCTATAGCATCTGACGATGAGGTGTCATCTGAGTACCCAGTAAAGCTCTCATTAATCTGTGCAGTAAATCATCTTCATCTTCTTCACCTCCATCGTACTGCGCAGGTGTTTCATCGACATTTTTAAAGATCAAGCAAAGAGAAGCTATTGTCAGAGGTGAGTTACGTATCTTGTTATAAAAGAAAAGTTGTGATAAGAATAAAAGAGTTCTAAAAACATATTTATAGTATATAGTGCACTTTAGTTACACCTACGTTTATCATGTTTATATTATATGTTACTTTATGTATGTTGTTTACACTATTAATATTTCATTTACGTGTAAAACTATTCCTTAATGTTCTAATGATAACATACGCACTTATGTGGTTTCATATACACTAATTGATATTATACATACACAAAAAATATACGTATGTTAAAAGTGAGAGGGTGACACTACTTCCCGGGTTTCACTTATCACGGCCGGTTCTGGTCTCCTATGAATCCCCCTACGAATATTGGAATGTGGAAGACCAAATTAGAAATTTTCAGTTTGTTTTTTTTATCTATTTCATATTTTGCAAAACTTTACCGAATTTTTGATTAACAAATTCAAGGATTTCAAAGCGAGCAATGGTAATACTCTAAGAGGAAAAAAAACCTTTTTATCTCCAGCGCGCGGAACTGTGTATCGGAAATCCTAAAGATATGCTCATTTTAAAATTATTTTGCGACATTGCTATTGAACTGAATTTTATGGTTTAAGTGCAAAGAATGTGATATTATTAAGTAAAGGTAACACAGAAAACGTTAAAAAAACGCCCCTTTGGACGTAATTTAAAATTTGAAACCTTTCAGATTTTTTTAATATTATTATTGTCCGGATAAACTAGCAGTTGCTATATTAAAGGAGTTTAAAGTTTCGCAATAGATTACTGATGAAGAAAGAAAATATATAAAGATAAATACACTGCTGCTAGAATTTTAGTCAAAATAACGCTGAAAACCATTTCAGAGATTAAACACTTAAGTCATAACAATTGTAATTACACATTAAATTTTAGAGTACTGACTATTTTTGCTGCTAGCTTTTTCTGTAGCATTTTGAAGCAGAAATGTTTCTTTTTCTTTGTTTTGTTTCATGATATTTTCCTTGCAATATATAAAATTGCGTCGGTTTTGCTTTCCTAAGGGAATCCTATATCTTCTCGTCATCGCCATTATTTTCTTCCTTTTCTCCTAGAGATCATTTTACACCTCGTTAACTGCAAACCGTTACATTACTCTTTTTCATTATCTTGTAGCAGTTGCTGTATCTTCATCTAACAGGTGCTAAAGTCATTCATCTCTCTGACGGGATATTTTTTGTATTTCACTCACAAATCATGCACCACTGAAGTTTTACGAAAATTCTGGTTTAAATTTATGGCCTACTCTTATTCTAATAACTATAACCTTAACTCCCGCGCTTTACTATCCCATAAACAGGTATCCAAAGTGTTATGACTTAGCTTGAAAGAGAGAGATTTTTTAAGAGCCAGTAGAGCGAGATATATTTGGCAGGAAAAGAATTTTTTAAATTTGTAGTTGAACTATTTCAAAAAACAAATCATTTTATCGCTTACATTTACACAGAGCCAGATTTAGACTTGATAAGGTCCTAAGCTATTTGAGATATATGACCCTTTATAAGTCTGTTATAATATATTTTAATACAGTTAATAATGTTATAATATATTTTAACCTTTAATTGCCGTGACAATTTTTTCGGCATAATTACTGTGAGCGGTCTCACAGATCGCTTTAGAGAAATGCGTAAAAATACATACTTTTATGCCTTTTTTAATGAATGTTATAGATATTTTATGCATATTTATGGAATTCTAATTCATTTAAATCAACACATTTTAAACATAAATCATTTAATTTTACGCAGTTAAATTCATACAAAAATTGACTATTGTCTTTCTTTTAAAGAACAACCCTACTAAAAATGCCCCATAGAAACCAGTAAAACTTTTTATGGTTACCCATAAGATTTTATGGGTTTTTATTGACTTTTACTGGTTTCTGTTGGTCTCTGTGGGTTTTTTTTTACTGGTTTCAAAATGACCCATAGAAACCAGTAAAACTTTCTACTGGTACCTATAGAATTTTTGATGGTCTCTATTGACTTTTACTGGTTTCTGTTGATTTCTGTGGGTTTTTCTTACTGGTATCAATTGACACCCATACAACCAACATTCAATGGCAGAACTTTGTACTGGTTTGTATAGGTTTATATTGACTCTTGCTGGTTTTCTTACTGGTATCAATATAATAATAAATCTCCTGTTGGTTTATATGGGTTTGTGCTATTTTTTTATCTGACGTTAATATACTTCTTGTAAACAATAAAATTAACAGAATGAAAATATGATCTATTTAAGACCACCACAGTAACCTGTAAACGCAGGTGGTCGTTTTAGAGAGGGTTTTTACTAAATATGCTATTTTTTTTATTTATTTTTTTTCGGAAACAATAACAGTAATCATATACACCACACACAACGAGGTCTCTCCAAGGCGACCAGCCGCAAATAAAAAATTCATCTTTGCAAGTGGTCGCCTTAGAGAGGTGATGCTCAATACCAATAGATACTCACGTTTCTTTATAGTAGTATTATTCATATTCTCAGAGATACGTTTATCGTTTAGAGGTGGTCGTCTTTAGGGAGATTGCATCTACGGAATGAATCTCTCTAAGGCGACCAGCCACACTTGCAGAATTTTTTTTGCTTTGTGAATGGTCGCCTTACAGAGGGAATATTCAATACCAAAGTATACTTATGTTTTCAGAAATACTGGTTTCTTTCAGAGGCGGTCGTCTTAGGGAGGTGGTTTTTGCTACGAGTTGGTTCTCTGAATATACACACACATAAGCACTTACATTTCTGATATTACAAATAAACACCGGTATCAACCAACATCTCTTTCAACGCGAACAAGTTTATTCACAATCGCAAAACTTTTCTCCGTGTTAACGCTGACGTGAGGGAAAAAAAATTCCCCCTCCCTCCCTCACTCCCCCACTCTCAGAAGTTTCCCAAACAAGCAATATGGCGCCGTTCTCTAGTTATTGTTGTGTGATGGTGGTGTTATTTTCTTCGTGGATGTAGTAATGCAATATATAATTTACTATGGATTTACTGTATTACAAATTCTACTATGTTTTACTGTTTAGAAATTAGTAATAAATAATAAAATATCAGCACTGACTATGAATATACCACTAAAGCCATGCACGTGTAATCGTGTCTAATGTTTGAGAGAACGTTGCTGATAACTGACTAGTTGTGAAATGGAGTTTCTGAGCGTGAAATTGATTTTCCATCTTTACTTTTATCCTGAAAAACAATGTGTTTAAAGACTGAAAATTGATAATTTCAGACTTGATAATTTGTTTCAGTGTGCAGATGCAGATGTGAAGATGTACAAATATAGTTTTTGCAATTCTACTGAAACTGTATTTTGGAAAATTTATTTTTTTGATTACAGTTTAGAAATACTTTTTTAAAGCTTGTTCATGTAGATGCTTTATCATTTGAATATTATGTACTAATAAATTTGAGCATACCTTACTTAAAAGTGATCTTGCATGATTCAATTTTGAATTTTTCGACTAATGTGATGTGGCCGAGCAAAAAGAATGTTTTTTTTTTTTTATTTTGTTTTAAAAAATGTACTAATTATATTTCGCGAGCAAAAAAGGTAAGTTTTATTAATGAAATAAACATTGAAGTATTTAATGTGTTTATTACTTATTGAATGGGGTAGACAAGACATACAAGCTTAAGGAATCTTTTTTCCACTTACTAAAATTATGTGAAAATTTAGATGATCATAGTAGCTTACATTGTTTTTCTTTTTGGTCTATTTTTCTTTACAAGTATGAGACTAGAACCACATTTTTACATTAAATATTTTGTGCTATTTTGTTAAAAAACACATATAATCATTTTTATGCATACTTTAATTTTCATTATTATTTGATGAAGAAAATTTCAAATGTGTTTTTCATAAATTGCTTTTGAAATAGAAATAGATTTGTGAATAAGATTTATGTAATATTAAATGTACTAGTCTTGGGAGTATAAAAAGTGAATTATTTATTTGAAAAAAATTACATTTAGTTGAAACCTCATATAGTGGTTATTTTCTTAAATGACCACCTCTGACAATGGCACATTTGTCAGGACAATAATTAAATAACAGGACTTAAAAAACCATTCATAGTTTTGTCAGGCTACAGGAAACTGGCATTATCTCGAATTGTGGAGTTGATTGTTTTAGGAACGTTTTGCTGTATAATCAATTGACTTCGGTGTAGTTGTAGTAATTTTTACGTGGGTATGAATTTTTTGCAGAAGTAATTGAAAGTTTTTACGAGACATTTAAAACCAAAGCTTTTCGGATCATGAGTCTTATAAGGGCACTGTTATAGCATTGCTTTCAAATATAGTTAGAGTAATATTTAAACATTATTTTCGAAATCACTTCCACAGGGAATCTGGTTGTTCTCTGCGGATGAAAACCCATATAAATAAATCATCTGTACAGCCTTATACAAATGCAGTTAAAATTACTGTCATTACAATTAAGCGAATATAGCCACATTTGTTTACAAAAAGTTATTATTGCTAAATACTGCACTATATCAATTTCATTTAGCATGAGGTATTTTTATATTATATAATCTACTGTCAAAAACAATAGCTACCTTTTCAGTACTTTAAATTTTACTATTGAGAATTTTTATGGTTCAAAATAATATTTCTATACATTATTTCAAGTATTCTTTTTACAATAGAAATCTAAATAACTTGCACCTAAAACACTGACTCAAATTTATTCCAATAATGCATCGCTTTAATTAAATTTATGCTTCCCTTGAGATGATATATGAAAAACCTTGTGTGTAATAATAAATTATTAATATATATAGGTAAATAGTATTTTTATATATTTTTTCGGGTAAAGTGCAGAATCGCCCACATATTTATTTGGCACTTTGTACAAAAGTAAAAGGAATTGGATTTTTGTCAATTTTCTTTTGACTTTTAAAGTGAAAATAGGTTGATGTGTACATGAATAAAGTCAAAGGAGTGCACAATGGCATTTTTGTGCAATTCTGA